GTGCCCGACCCCTCCGCAGCGCTCCCGGCCCAGCCTGGTCCTGGAGCCACCGGCAGAGAGGTTCTGTGAGTGGAGAGATGCATAATTGATTTATTGGTAACATGATGCACTGCACGGAGCCAGGATCAAGTAACGACCCAATTAAATACTTGTGGATGCATTCATATTAGTGAGCTCTAAGTCAATCAATTATTTAAATACACTGGGAGTCATGTCCTGTGATTATTAAAGGGGCTGAAATCATGTTGCCTTAATAACAATCACAAATATTGTGGATATTCTGTTCTTTAAGAAAATGGTTCCACGAGTTGTGAAACCCGTGCAGGAGCTGCAAGGCCGGGAGGATATGAATATGGATCAGCGGGGTTATTACACACACCGGCACCGAGGGACAAAATTAAAGAGGGCTTAAAATTCTCTGCAAAGACAAAATGTAGAATATGAAAACTTTCGCGATCATTTGTAATAATGACATTTTGATTAGAAAGCCAGGATCATGCATAAGTTATTGCATCAGCCCTCCGGGCCAAACAGCGCTGAATGGACTGACCTGGAGGAGGAGGAGGAGGAGGATGCAGCAACCCCCCAGTTACCGGGTGCTCACGGTGCCGGGCTCGGCCCCGCGTGTGCGGTGCAGAGGAAGGGAACCTTTCTCCTGTGTTTTCTGCTCTTACATAGTGGGGAAAACAGTATATAAATTATTTAAGCAGGCAGAAGATAATTAACTCTAATCAATCTGGATTCTGCCCAGGTTATAGCTCTGCAACAGCATTAATCTTACTAATTACTTAATATCGCTAACACAGTTTTCAATGAGTTCAACAACGCATTCAGTGAATCCGGCATTGAGTAATAGATGTAAAGTGATTGATTCTGAGCTGAAAAGCCCTTCGGTACTGCAGATCTGACCATTTTATTAATCAAATTATCACTTTTAGGGCATTCAAGAATTAGCAGCTCAGTCTCGCAGGGAAATTTTTTCATTACACTGATGGGTTATTCTTGGGTTGCATTAGGGAGAGTGTTATTTCAAGAACATTAAGAAAGAAGAGTTTAGA